CACATGCCTCCCAGTGGGATGTCATATGAAACATACAGCATTATGATTATTATTATGATTATGGAGTGTTCTTGCCATAAAACTGCTCCTCTAGACCAAACTAAGAAAAACACAGGGATCGGAGGAACAACTCAAACACTACAATAAGGAAAACTTCCAGACAATTCTAGAATGTGGGACATTCTACTCAACCACCAGCTTAGACTCTTTCAAAAGTCAAAGTCATTAAAAACAAAACACAAGTGTGAGTGGGAAGCTGGAGGTATAGCCCCAGGGCAGGACGCTTGACTAATAGGCATGAGGCCCTGGGTTTGATCCCCCAGCACTAAAGGGGGGGGGGCTGGGAATGTGTAGGAGGAGATTGTTTGAAAAGTAAAAGTGATTTAAAAACAGAATACAACTGACACTATTATTGCTGTATGTATATACATGGCTTTATAACCAAGGTGATCCTGCAATCTGTTTTTTTTTTTTTTAATTTTTTTAGTATTTATTTTTTAGTATTCGGTGGACACAACATCTTTGTTTGTATGTGGTGCTGAGGATTGAACCTGGGCAGCATGCATGCCAGGCGAACGCACTACGGCTTGAGCCACATCTCCAGCCCAATCCTGTAATCTGTAAAATGAGAATTCATACCCTATTTGAATCAAATGTATGATATGTCAAGATCATTGTTTGTCTTCAGCAACTAAAAAAAAACAAAACAGAACCAAACCCAGAGCGGTGGTAAATATCTATAATCCCAGGTGCTAAGCAACTCAGGGAGACCCTGTCTCTAAATAAATAAAACAAAACAGGCCTGGGAATGTGGCTCAGTGGTCAAGGGCCACTGAGTTCAATCCCTGGTACCAAAAAAAAAAAAAAAAGTACCAAATAAAATGTATGCAGCTTCTAGACCTGCTTTTAAAAACTCCAGTTATGAAAGATTCATGACATTTGGGGGAAATGTAAATATTCAATGGGTATCAGATGATATTATGGAGGGAGTTATTAAATAATAATTCTTATAGGTGGTCATGTAGGAGACTATCCTAATTCTTAAGAAACTTAGCTAAAGTATTTAGGAATAAAGTTGTGGTACTGACTGCAACTTTCCTTCAAATTAATTGCTCAGTTAAAAGAGAGAGAGAGAGAGAGAGAGAGAGCACACAAATAGTAGAGGGCAAATAAATAGGCATTCTATGAATTAATTTTTAACTTATCTAAGTGTTTGACACGTTTTAAGATAAAAACTGAAATGGGGTGTATAGTGGTAAGGGTGGAAAAGACTGTACCAACATGGGCTATGTGTTCACAGAGCACATAGGGAAGTCAGCTCAGCATGAGAGGAAACTCTGGACACTCTTGAGCTTAAGCTATCAAAGCTGGGTGGACTGGTTTGTGATTTTACTTTGGTCCACAAGAAGGAAGCTGTCACTTCTCAATGCTAATAATGCTCAGTATAACTTAAGACATATTTCTCCCTGCCAGTCCCCATATCTGTGACACAAAATAGGCAGGCAGATTTATCCAAGTTCTCAAAACACTTGTTTTGTTAAAAGTCATTTCTGTCTACACTTCAGTCCTGACTCTGCATAGCAAAGCAAGCCTGAGTTTGCTTTGCACTCACAGTCCTGAATAAACACCCCCAAATGCCAACACACACATTGGCCAATGCTGACCTTTGGCTGACAGCTGGGTGACTATCCTGCACTAAGTTTCCTGAGCTCCAGGATTGTTCAGCTCTGTTCTGCTGCGACTCTGGTCTGAATGACTTGAGTCAGAGGCTACAAAGTCACCAGAACATAAGGTGCTGCTCAACAGGCAAATCATGACCAAACCCTCATGGTTAAAGTGCTTCTTTCCTTGCAACCAGTCATTTTGATGGGAGCCCAGAAAACTCATAGTAGGAGTACCTCTATGAGCTGGCTTCTGAGTTTCCTTGGCTTTCTTTAGCTGGAGCCTCTGGAAAACCCAATTTAATTAACAAGGTGATGCTGACACTAGGACATGATGGTAGATGGTGGCCTGCAATAGTCTGGATGTTCAAGTAGCTTGAAGAACAGGTTAGATACAGGACCTGGCATACACACTCTCAACTGCCTGGACCAAGAATCTGTAAAACACCACACATAAAGCAGGAAGTCCATCAGAGTGCCATGGTGAGTAATCCTTGTGAGAACCAAAATCCTCCCCAGGGACATCAAGAGATGTGAGACATCTTATTCTAGGACAAAACCAGAGCAACTGATAAGCAGATAAAAAAAGTAATTTTTGAGTTAAAAAAAAAAAAGAGCATAAACACATTATTCTGATGATTCACTGAAATCAGGGAGGTGAAGTTGGAAAATTACCTCAGTTTGTCTGGCACAGAAGTGGGTCCATCATGCTACAGAATATGCTCGTCTAGCAGGTAAACTGAACAGTTTCTGCAGAGAGCACTGAGGAAGTACCTAAGAGAAGCATTAAGTCTGTTGCCGAAGGGCATGCAAATGCCAGGAAAGGGAAAGACTGACCTCAAAGAAGATGGGGACTGATAATTCAAATTGCTCAGAACACACTGCTTGAAGAAGATGGTGATGAAGCAGCCTCATCATAACAAATGCCCTCCCTCCCTCAAGGACTGCCATGTGGAACCTCTCATCTGGGAGCCTGGTCCTCCTCCTCCAGCAGCTCTGTAACTAGGACAACAGAGCCCAACAGCTGGCAGATGCATTTCCTTGAGAGTACCTTACTACCCTTTCTTCTTCTCCTGTGAAGTCTATTCCAAAATTTAAAAAGGTAGCCTCTTAGGAATTTCCTCTTCTTTTCAGCAGTTCAAAAAGGAAAAGCTCCACAGTTCTATTTCAACAGAACCAAGGAATTTGAGCCATAAGAAAGGCACTTACCTGACTGGTTCCCAGACAGTGGGTCTTCTCCTTAACTCCACAGTCCCATCACCTTGGTCTGCTTTGTCTACTTCTATGAAAGGTGATGAGGATCTTACTCTCATCTCTATTTCTGTGTTCAGAACAGATCCAGCTTTGGCCTTTCCAATTCTACTCCCCATTATTGCTACCCAACATCATTCCAGGACTATCCACCATTTCTACAAACCCCCTTTCACATCAAGCCTTTCACTGAGCAAGAGACTACCTTCTCATCCAGTCTTTTCACAGAGGAAAAAAAAAAAA